TGTGCCAATGTCAATTAGTGACAAGAAGGAGGATGTCAGGAGGGACCCCATTAGGTTCGTGACAATTTGGCAGCCAATCTTAAGTTAAATGAGTTGTTCCACTAACAAGGGATATAGTTATGCGAATGGAAGTCACTTTGGCTTTAATTCAATAATGATATCCAAGAATTGAAGGACGAAAAAGAACCCAAGTCGGTTCGTTGTCTACTTCGACTAATCCTTCAATGAGGCCACTTGCTGAACTGTGCGCTGTCCAATTGTCCCAGAATATATTTAGGTATATATAACTTCACTCAGATTCGGGAACCTTGAAGCAAAATTGAAACAAATCAAAAGTTAAAAACAACTGCTCTATTTACCATTTAATCCGACAAAACGTGTCTCCTCTCTTTTAATAAAAACCTTGAAACTATGACCCACACACAGTAAATTCATTTCACAAAAATATATTCTTTCAGCGCAAAAATTAGCTTATTAGTATTGGAAACCGATAATCAATAAGTTATGAAATGTTTCCAAAAATCCTCTAAGTGTAATGTAAAACGGGCGGAATTTTTTCATTGAAGAAACTCTTCACTCAACAACTGTATAAGTCAGCACTATATAATTAATTACATCTAGGTTAGATCAATCTGAGATCTGGGACGAACCTGAGTAAAATTCCACACAGCTATGAGTCTACTGTTTTCTTTCTAGTGATTTGTTTCGTAATAGGTTATTGTGCTAACCAAGATTTAAATGCAATTTGGCAATTAAAATTGTTTTTTGTATTTTTTAAGGAAGAAAATATACAATAAATTTACAGAAATTAATTTGTACGTAAACACGAAAAAAATGTCTGATATAGTCCATGCCTGCATCTTTGCGTCCAACCTACAGTTAAACAGCGTAATGATTGTAATAATCGTGTAATAATCCTGAAGCTGATCACTACAAAAACCCAAAAATGATTGTAAGTTAACTATTTATAGCAATAATCTATGGAAAAATTGATGATCACAATGATATATAAGTTAAGTAAATACACTACATTACTTTCATTATACAGACGCATAATTTTCATACGTTGCCTCTCTAAACCCTATTGTACTCCTGTTATACTTCTATAACTTTTTGATCGATTTCTAGTTTTCTCCACAAATTTTTATTAAGGCAAGACCATGGTGCAATCGGAAATCCTTGGACTAAAACTGGAGGCACCATAATTTATCAGACATGTAAACAAGTCAAACAGTAACCGTCTACGTTGAAAATCGAGTAAGCAAGAATTTTAGTGACCGTTGAATAAGTAAGACTCAATTTTTACCGAATATATTTAAATGAGTTTGTCATTATGTACCAAGGCGAATTAGGAACATATGTTATTCTTATATATCATTTAAAATTTGCTCATCACCCTTCTTGCACATCTTCAAAGTGAAAGAATTGATAAAGCAAAATTGCTCATTAGCAGATGTGAGAAAAGCGCTTTAAAAAATTTTAAAACGCTTTTCCATTACATATACTTTCTTAATGTATTCCTTCATGTATTGTTGTGTATTTTTAAAATATTTATAGTCATAATTTTCAAATTCGTGAAATTTTTTAATTTTGTGTGAATTTTTATTTACAAACTATTGGCAGATGATTAGAATATTTGTTGAATGTTTCAATGAAGATTCACAATAAATCGCTTATCGCTTTGGCAACATTTTTTTAAAGTAGTTAAGATGCTCAGCCAGTTCATAGCTAGTCGGTTAGACAGAGAGAGAGTAGTGTTGTTGATTTGAGTACAAATTAGCGACTTGTTGTTTTTTCCCACACTTTCAAGCGGCCGAATACACCTAATATTATTATTTCTAATACGTAATAGAAATATTTAGATAAAAATGCAAACTTACCAAAATACCTTTGCGGTTACAACTTTAGTTGCATAAAACAGCTCTGTAAGACTCTGTAAAGCTCAAGTAAAAAGTGTGATAATCTTTTCAACCTTTTCTAAGGCTGGGGTATGGTATGGTAATGGTTCATGGGTTAAGCTAAGGCCGAGGAATCGAGGAATCGAACCAGCTCCTTCGGAGGGAGTTTTTAAATGTTTTCATCCTCTAGTTGGTATGCGCCTAAAATTTTGTTTCTTCTGTGGCCTAGTGCATAAGAGGTAATGATCAGATGTTCCATAAACTCTTTCTCATCAAAGCAGAACCTGCAGAATCTGTGAGTGGCCTGGCAATGCACCAAAAGTGACTTTAGACTCTTCTTGTTTACGTTGAAAACGACATTTGCTCTATTGGCATCATAATTCAAGAATTTTTTTTTCCATGACACTTTGTTGAATCCATTTTATGGTCTCTTCTTGTATGTAATTTTTGTTGAAGCTAAAGAAAGGAGTTGTGCCGATGTATAGCGCTTTTGCCTTTTTTTGGCATCTGCGTTTTCGTTGCCTTCGTGTCATTCATGTTAAAGTTTCCAAATCAGAGAGACCTGGTTGAAGGCGACCCGTTGATTGAGTGTATTGTTACACTCGATGAGGACTTTTGATGTGAACGTGTAGCTGTTTAGAGCTTTGAGAACTGATAAACCGTCTGAGAGATTTCCTGGTTTGAATTTTTCTTTTGTGTATATTGAGAGTGCTTGCATTGCAGCTTTCTTTTGTATTGCTAGGTGTAGCGGTGGTTAATTTAATAGTGCTTCCATGCCACGGTTGGTGTAGTTCTCATGACCCCAATTTTGATTTGTGTAGTTTTCCTCACCATAGCCATTTTGGAGTTCAGGCCCCAGGAGTTCTTTTTTAGTCCAACGGTTTTTCTTGGCTTTTTTTAATTACAGAATTGAGGTGTACTTCCCAAGTAAGTTTTTGTTCAGGATAATTCTTAAATATTTCAACTTTTCCATCTTTTTTATTTTGTATCTTTTTTATTGTTGATATGCGCATAGTAAATAGGACAGTGGTAGTTTTGGCAGGATTAATTGATAATCCTTATTTTCCTCATCATTCCCATATTGTATTGCCAGTGATTATTCGTGGTTACCTGTGATTATTACTGATATGTCGTCTGCACATCTAATTGTTTTATACCCTTTGTTGTTGAGGATTTATATTAGGTTATCCGGTATTAAGAACCATAACAACGGTAAGGGTACTCCCCCTCGCGGCCATCTTTTTACTGTTGTAACACTAAGTTATTTTTCTTTAGTTTAATATATTACTCACTAAATTTTATGTTTTATGCTTTTTTATAATTTTAACAATGGTGTGAAGTGCTATAACCGTAGATTTGTCTTTTTGATAGGCAAATTGTGACTTGTGTATCGAATTGTTGGGAACAACCTCTTCTGAATTTATGCCCCATTCTACCCTTTCAAAGGTTACTACCATATTTTGGTCATAGTGGAGTTTCTACTTCATTGATTATTGCGAACTAGTGCCCAGTGCTCATTGTTACTGGTTGCCTTTAGTCGACAACCAGGGAAATGAGTTGCAAGAAGAAGATCTAGTGTGTTAGCAAAGGAGTTTGTGAAGGTCCTGTCCGGTGCCTTTTGTGTACTGATTGGATTAGTAACATACTTGGACACTGATTTTTGAATTCTGTTCTTTATTCCACCAGGAAACCCTTTTCGTTATCTTGAGTGGACTACATTCATGATATGAGGATATTATGGAGTCGGTCAAAATTTTAACTGATGTGTTTAGTTCCTCTGTCTAGTGTTAGATTCTAGACATACTAGGTGTTTCTCTCATTTAGTTTCTTTAGGATTCTATAAAACACTATGCTCTTATATAACCTCCTTATTTCAAAGAGTATGTATTAATAATCAGACATTGAGTCCTCATCAGAGGCTCTCCAGTTAATGATCAAATGAAGTGATCATTAGCTGTCAAATTAACAGCTTCTTGCCGTACTACATTCTCAAAGGCTGGTTTATTACCACTGATTACAATAGCTATGTTTGTTTGCAGTAAAAACTCCATGAGTAACACACCTCTTGTGTTTGTATATGTCCTGCCCCATATTGTATTGTGTGTGTTTGTATGGTATTCAATTATTAGAGTCTTATTATGTGTCTTACAGTAGTTTATTAAACCTATTATGTTCGGTGGTGGTACTTCGTTGATGTCTCCTGAAAAGTAAGATGAGATTATAACAGCCTTTATTATCTTTCTATTTGAGTTGAGTTCGTTCATTCATAAATCCTGTAAATAGCAAAAATGTAATATTGGTATCAATGATAAACGTAGCCTTTGGTTTGGCTTCATGTTTGGTATTTTGAGGCCTGTTAATCTGGCTCTCTCTATCCAGGGCTCTTGAGTAAGTCCTATATTGGTGCTTCCACCAGCAAACCTTCTGCTTATTTCGGCTGTTGCAGCTTTAGCACGATGAAGATTTGCCTGAATGCACATCATGTTTTGTTTGTGGGGTCAGGGTTGGGTGGAGTCCTCTTCTTTCAACTTCACTACGTCTAATCTTTCCACCATTGCTTCTACATTAATAGGTGCAGCTTTTAGCCAAAGGGTCACTTGACCAAAGCTTTTAACTCTTTTAAGTGCACACCATGTATCGATGTAGAGTCCTTTATTCTACACCTGTAAAAGGTTCAGAATCCTAGAAATTTTTAGGGTCTGAGAACTGGAACAGTGCCCCACTGCGCTCCGTGATTAAGGTATTTTAGTTTGCTCTGTGGACTACAGCGAGGCGCCTACCGATGGTGACGCATTTGTGATGGTCGTTTTTAACCATTCTGTTGATGCACCATTATTACAGTGCAAAGCCTTGTGTTCTACTTTATAGATGACGCCTAGAGATGCTGATTTTGTAACCTGTTTTTTTTCGGCTACTCTTATTTTCAGATAAGAATGAGATTGCCCTTTTAGAGCACTACCATTTTAATGCCTAGTATCACGTCTTTGTAGGAGGCAGTGGGTTGCCCCTTCGCGGTTGTGTTGACATCTAACTTTGCTGAAGATCTTGTGCTGCGGCTCTGAGTCATATGTAGCACCTTATATGTAGCATCATATAACTACCTTATGAGCACAACGTGGGTACAATGTATTCTGGCGGTATAAACTGCAAGTTAGCAATTTTACGTGGGAATGCTTTGTCCACTGAGTTGTGCTGAATAAAGACATTCTCATTAGCATTTTCGACAATTTCGTTGACTAAAATTGAGAGTTGGAGAGAATAATAAATCATAAATTACAAAGTTATTGCTTAAAGCAGAATGTGCTGCGTGCTTCTATGTAAAGAATTGAATTCAATGTAAATATATTAATTTAAATTTTATTTGTTTATATAATAATAAAATGAGTCTAAGAAGACTAACTTAAACAAAAGATTGCTTAATTTATCTTCTGGAGCTGAGGAATTGGTCATCTATAAGTCGCTTTTTATGAGTTGCCTCTGGAAGTGTTTCTTCTGTCGCCCTTTGCCTCTTATTTCAATGTTCTGCATAATTGCTCTTGTTAATTGGCATAGGAATAACAACTTTGGCATATGCCCCATCTCTTCTGAACTCTTTTCTGAGGAGGTAGTTGAACCTCTTTTTGCACCGCTGAGTTTTTTAGGCTTTCCTTCTGTTAGTGCCGTGTCTATCGGGTTTTGAGTAGCAGCTTCTTGGCTCGCGCCAATTCAAGGCTACTGTTCCTCCATATGTTGAGGTATGGTGGTCTTTTTTGATAAGTTTTTTGATGGCCGTTCTCGCCAGTAGTTATTTTATTATTTGTGTTCATTTTTGATCCCACAAGTAAAAGGGAAAGTCGGTCCACCACGCCAATGTCCCGGTGACGCAGTAAGGTATCTGTTAAAATGGAGCCTTACCCGTACGTCCTGGTATACTCATACTATACCAGGGTTCAACGGAAGACTTAAAAATTTGATTAGTACGTTTTCTAGCTAGATATTGAATACAAAACAATAAAATTCAGTTAATTAATTTGTTTTCATAGATTGTGGATATTCCGGTATAATAATATAGATACAAAAACACTACAAATAGATAAAAAACAGAAATACCTCAGCAAAGTTAAATATTTTTTTTAGGATCAATAAATAAAATTTAAACTGTTTACTTTGGGTATGTACCTCTATTCCGTTTTCTTTTATTAATTAGTTAATTTACAATAGACAGGTACTCACCGCAGCTGTTGTGATGTTCCCATTTCACTGTTGTACCTAGCTAAAAGTTGGAAATTTTATTGATATGTAAAAAAAAAACAAAAAAAACTAAACTAGATATAGCCGTGCACTTAAAGTTCACTTAATTTACAATTTCTTTTTTTGCACTTTTTTCTTATTAAAAAAAAACTAACATTGCTTATTTATATATATTTATATTATTTAAAAGAAAATTCAAGACAGTAAACCTAGCTTATATAATATAGTTTCATATAATGTGCCTTAAATATAATAGCCATTCGGCGATAGTTTGATGTTGAAATTTTATAAAATGTGATTTAGATATTTTTACTTCTGTCTCAGTTCACAAGTTTATTTTTAATTTAGATGCTAGTATTATTAATTTAATTCCTGAAGGAATTTACTTTTTATCTTCTCTGTTTGAAGTTTAATATCGAACAAAAATACTTTACACTTCCATTTATACCTATACTCATATTTCCTGTTAAAACCCATAGATTTATTGTTTGTACACGTTGATCTTCTTTTCCAAAAAAACTGAAGACCATCTTGTCCACACGACTCTGCCTTTTATATTTTATAATGATAACTGGTTAAGTCTGAATTTTCCTGTTACCCGGTTCGGTGGTTATTTAGTAAAACTTCACCTCACCAGTTAATAAATGTTTTATTTTCGGACTTACGAGAGCTTTTCTTTTCTTTGCTTTTCTAATATTCGCTGCAGTTTTGGTGAGCAAAACGAAATGTAAAGAAACGAAGCTTTCTGATGGCGTTTACCATAATTACAATAGAGATTTTGTTTACGTCTTTACCTCGTATAGTTGGTGGTGGTGTTTTTCTTCGAATTTGTTAAAAACAAATTTAATAATTTTAAGTTGTGATAATATTACGTGAGTATTTTGTCCAATAACTTGTTATATTGAATTAATATTATTAAGTCAGTAACTGTGATGTGTAATGTGAATAGTTTTTTAATTAAATTTTTAAACTGAGTGAATAATAGTGTTTTCCTTTTTACATAATATCAGAGCTCCGTTGGAAATCAGTAATTATCGTGAAATATTTATCATCCAGTGATTTTAATATCTTATTTGTTCTAGGTTATTAAAGCCGTAAGACTTGACTAGGCTTTTATGTTAATAAAAAATTTTGTATTCCTGAAATATTTAATGTAAATTAATTTCAGGAAAATAAATTTAGGTGTTTCTTTCAAAAAAGACCACGTTGAGGCGTGTTTACTGCACAACTGTTGGTAACAAACATAGAGAAAAATTTTTAAATGTCTCCTCTTTAAAATATCACCTCTTTTCAAACATCTAATAAAACTCAGTTTTCAGTTGTAAATGCAATTGTGTACAACATTATTTCGATTAAGGTAGAAATATGGGTATCTAAGAGTCAACATCGCGGTAGTAATTCAGCTGCTCAATTTTTACTTAATAAACTATGCGTGGAGTCAGTGGCGTAACTGCATTTTTTAGGCCCATAAGCAAATTCTAACTAAGGGGCTCCCACTAACATCTTTTTATACACTTTACACGAAAAAGTGTAAAAAGGGTATATTAAGCTTGTCAAGATTTTCATAACGCATTAAAGGAAACGTCGAAGATACCATAAAGTATATATTAGTATATGTATATAGGTATATACTTTTTCAGTTCAAATTACTCTCTCAGCTTTTGAACTCTTTGAATGAAACTTTACGCACATACTTTTCGGGAGCGGACGCTGTTCACCATCTGATTTGATTAAAATTAGCCTACTAATTTTTATAGATGTATGTATTTTTATTTTTCCTGACAAATTTTTTCAATCCCGAAATCCAGAACACTATTGATTTGTTTGATTACAATATAACCAGCACGGCTTACAATATAATAAATCCAATAACTTTGAATAGCATAACCAAAGTCGTGGCACTGTTACATATTTTATTTTTAAATTATAGTATGAAGATTAGAAACTTCTATTTTCTTGATTAGGATCTTTTGGGAAAGGCCCTTGTAATCTCTCGAGGTCAGAAGAATTAGTCTGTTCAGTATTTCTTCTCTCGTGGTCGGAAGAATTAGTCTGTTCAGAAGCCTGTTCCAGTATTTGAACAATATGTCAATTTATTCTGTGTAGCACAATTAGCGAAGACATTATTTAAATCGTTTACTTCTTCACTTTTGTTTTCATTTATTTTTAGAAAATTGTTTAGTTTTGGTAATTTCTTTAATGTTTTTTCTCGTTCGTTTTGCTCTTTTCTTTTCTTGGCTCCACTTAAATGTCAACACAAAGAAATTTTAAAGATTTTCTTAAAGTTACAAATGCAACTTTGTTCAAAAATCAAAATTTAAGTTATTCCAACATAAAACGTTTCGTCCCACTTTTGAGAATTTATTAAAAATAAATATAATGAATGCATAAATTTATAATGGGGCCCCCTAAATTCGGGGGCCCTAAAGCGTTGCTTCCAGTCGCTTCCCTGTAGTTACGCCACTGCGTGGAGTAATAACTGTAAATAAAAGCAAAGCACTGAATTAGGATTTTGTGTTTAGTTGCTCATAAAGAACTGATTGTTACTGACGAACGTGGAAGCGTACAAGCTTTTGCTTTCTTTAACATTCTGGAGCACAAATCTACAAGAAAATGTTGAATTGATTTACCTATTCTACTATTTCATGCTTTAAAAATTCAAATTTAAACCATAACTTATAGTGCAAAAGAAGTATATTTATAAGTTACTTATTTCGTGACCTTTACTTGTCAACTCTGTTTGCGTAACTCATGTAAAAAGGAACTGTAATTATAGACATTTGTCATTTCGCAATATTTATAATTTAACAACTGTTGAACTATTGTAAATATTAGAAGGGTTCGAACAGTAAGGAAGAAGCATCAACAAAAATTTGAATAAATTAATCAAATTTTTGTTGTTGCTTCTTCATTACTGTTCGAACTCTTCTAGTCTCCTTTAGTCATAAGACGCGCCATTATAGATATTAATAATATTTTAAAAACCAAATAAAATCAGTGGTGATTCAGTCGTTTTACATTTTAGAGCGTTTAGTCTGGTGATGTGATAGGCTCGTGTTGTCGTGTTGTTCTGAATGACGAAAATGTGACACAAATCGACAATTCTGATCGCCACACCCTTTTGATTACCAATTTTCTTTCAAAAAATAAATAACGAATGTGCAACATATATTATTAAACAAAAAGGTGCCACAACACATATAAAGTCCAATTTCATTTCGTTACACAAAAATATCCTTGCTATGTAATCACAGGTTTCAGTGACGGAATTGGTCAGAAAAATCGATTGCCAGTCATGTGTACCAACCCGTCGAAAACTATTTTAAAAAGATCTTATTATTAAAAAGATCTTATTATAGCAAACTGTTAGCTGCTATTTCTGTAATTACTACATAAATTGTATAAACTAGCTGGCAATATATGGCGTATACTCGTATAAGAGTAATAAGAGTAGTTGCTCTCACTAGCCGACTCTAATGAAATACGTTGTCAAATGAGTTTGCTCGGGAAACTGGATATATGTCACAACGACTTACTTGATATGTTAAACAGGCAAAGAGATATCAAGGTAAAAAAATTCAAATATTATACATTTATTATATTATTTAATGAATAAGTATTAACATAAGAACTAAGAAAAATATATATCATTTTCAAACAATATACCTGATTCAGTTTCTTCGTTTTTGCCATGCTATCTTTTGGTATAATTTGCGCACCGTTTTCACTTGCTCCAGATTCCGGATCAGAAACATCGGAGTCAATGTTATGGAATGCATAATGTTTTTTTGCATGTTTGTGTTCAATAATAGAACTATTCTGTGTACCACTAGCATTTTCCATTTGATTTCTGTTTTCATATACAGCAACGTCTGTTGAATTTTTAATGAAATTCATGTTTGTTAATATTGAATTTTGAAAATTATTCTTATGTATTTGTTGTTCTCCTAAATGACTCTCATTTCTATATTTGTTTTTCTCTGATTTAGATTCACGCTGCCTAGATGATTTGCTTGAAGTTGTCCCATGTAGCACGGTTGTTTCATTTGACGAGCACATTAACTCCTTTTTGACCATTAAGTTTAAATTTTTTACATTAAATTTATTTGGCGTTGATTTACGTTTAGTTGACATTCTGAAAAACGACTGTTATCAGAATATATATGACTATAAATAATGTTAAATTATATAGCAGATATAGAACTTTGACATCAATATACTAAAATGTATTTATACCAATGAGAAAATAATTTAAGGCAGAAAAATTTTGGAGAGTATATCATCAACCAAATCTTTTTTAATTCTAAAGAAAGACCCTTGATATTAGTACGCATGAAAGAAATAAAAATTTTTACAAATCTCTCAACTTGTAGAACAAAGAGAATAACACCCTTATAGCACTATAAAATAATTTTATACGTTTTGAAATAACTTTATACGTACTCGAAAATAAATGATTTACTGCAATATTGCGTCTGCCTTCCTGGGTTTAAAAATTATTTATAAAGATAACTTCCGATGCCACAATTCAAATATTGACTCATGCACTTGCAAGTGTCTTCCGCAATATATCCGCAATTTGTAAAGTCACGGATTGCTTTTATAAAAATACGGCTTATAAATTCAAATGGATGTAATATAAAAACGGTTTGCTTTAATAAATATTAGAGACTCTATCACCCTCAGTTAATGGAAAAAGGACGTAATGTTGTTCATTTCGTTATTGATGTTTTAAGTAAGTGAAATTGGGTAAGCAGGGTTGTTTCGACATCATTGTGTGAGCCTTCTTCTCCATTGAAAATCTAAGCTTTATAACGTTTCGTGACCCTTTTTCATTTGTCAATTTCTTTCCGAACGATTTTTAATTTGACTAATTTTTAGTAACAGAAAGAAATACAACGGTCAATTTTTATCGTTCAAAATATAATAAATTATTTAAAATTTTATTTACGATTAAATTTTGTGTTGTAAATAATAAATTTATACAACACTTATTATATTATTAAAATAATTATTCAAAAAAGATTTGTTTTAAAACTAATTTAATGTGTATTTATTTAATATATATATATATATATAAATTGATTATATGTCTTTATTCATTAGATTTCATATTCATTATTTATTCAATATTAATATAATTTCTAAAGTTAATCTATACAAAGATTTGATTGACATGTGTTCTCCAAACAACAAAATTTCTAGCAGTTGTGTCCTAGTTATAGGAAAATTATAATGTCAAGTATCTACAATGGTGATTATCTTAACATATTTCTTTTATAAATTTGTAATTATATTCCTGATTAGTATGAATTTCATGTGATAGGTATATCAGCTAACCATTATCTACTCACAGATACATCAGGAACCGGTTAGTAGTCAGAAGTGCAACATGATTTTTACTAAATCATTTACAAAATTATTGTAAAAATATTTGCTTTAAAGTTCATAACCCGAGTTCGAACTCTTTACATAAGGTATGTTATATTGAAGCAGTGTCTTTAAAAATACGGTTTCAGAAGGCAGAACAGAACAGAACAATTTAAAAAATTTCAAAAGCAGCCTTAACAGCACGCCACTGCCATTTACCTTTAGAAACATGATACATTGGTGATAATTTTAATCAACTAGTTGAATAAGGCTGAAAGGACAATAAACACCATCCATATAATCAACCAGCGAATTTATCATGCCTCGGCTTTATGAGAATGATTAGCGTAATTAACTAACAATCTATTCTGACTAATAGATTTTGTCATAGTTTCACTAGCGAATACAATATTGCCATATGTAGAGTTCTTTGAAAATATTTCAACAGATTTCTATTGCTGACAATATCAACTAACCAGTAATCACATTCATAAAGCAGAATACATTTTGAAAAAGCATTGAACATTTTTATTTCACTGTTTCAAACAAAAAACCAAATTTCAACTTTTGATCCCTTATTTTTTTCCTGGAATAATTTGGAAATATCCACTTTGCGATATCTTGACTATTCCGCTGGAAAGAGCTCTTTAAATTTTTTTTACCAAAGTCTAAGTTGCAGTCAATTCACTATGCTTTTAGTTTATGGTTTAATGTCTGTACTAAATTTCTTTTTATTTTATTCCATACATAGGGTCTACAAATATTATAATTTGAAACCATTATTAAAGTGATTGTCCTTTTTCAAAAGGAGGTTAAGTTAACTTCTCGGCATTATCGAAAGGTGTTGGTGTCCAAATATATAACAAAAATAGCAGGAGCCTACACACAATATCTAATGGAAGATAAGTTTGATCAGATTTAATATCAGAGTAGTCATTTTGAGAAGCCAAATTGATGTTTAGGGATGATTTAATTTCATTCTAGTATTAAAAGTAATTTTCGACAAGTATTCAGCAATTTAAGTAGCAAATATATTAGCCTACAAGAAATCAGATTTGGTGAATCTTAATTAAAGTTTGGTGTTGCAACTGTTTTAGCAATTATTCATACTGTTGCAATGTATTTTAGTCCTACAGCGTAATTGAATAATTTTCCTAAAACTGAATGATTTATAAGGAAGTAATAATAAGGGATATATTCTTCCAATCACACACTCTATTTAAACTAGGCGATTTGCTATTTTATATTTAATATTTCATCAATGCATTGTTATCATTACTATTTGTCTATATGGTATATGCATCTATATTTAGAAAAGAGATGCGTTTTTTCCAGATGGTCATGTATTACTACGTCGTCTCATAAACGGTACTATGTTAACGTTAAGCTTGATTGACTCATCAGCAAATTAAGGTTGGACAATTTGTGCTAAAAATTTTATATAATGTTCACTATTTTCAAAACAACTTAAGTTACATACATTGGCATTGGGTGTCAAACCGTTTTTCCTCTTAAACTGCTCAAAATTGCAAAAATTAGACTCAATATATGTTATGTATTTGAAATGTATGTATGTAAATCTTATGGACGAATTCCCTCTGACGAGGTTCTCGCTTGCGTTACATCAGCATTAGACGAGTGAAGTTATAGGTATTTAACAGTGCCTAATATTTTGTTAACTCTATGGATTCCAAAAGAAAAGAGAGAAGATAAATTGTGTATTAAATATTTTATAAATTATTTGTTTATATTAAAAACATAATGTATTTAATATATGTAAGTATTTTCATGTCATTATGTTTTAAAATGTTTATTATTTATAATTATATTGTGTACTTGCTTCACATGTTGCATATTATAGCTCTGTTTGCCCATGCATATTGATAATAGTTCTCTACGTGCGTACTCGTATTAGGTCCATCAAAACAGAATTGTGCCAAGTCTAATAGCAAACAATATTACATTACGGCGGTTTTAGGGGTGCAATATGTGCTTACATTTGATTGCACACGTGCCTTACTTTTATTTATGATGTTCGAACAGTTCGAAGAGCAGAGTGAGTCAAGTGTTCAATTAAACTACTTATAAAACAGATTTTAAAAAATAATTTTTTTGGGTACAACCCGAATGTAATACTAATTTTAATAAGTGCATTTTGTAACCAAAACAGTTTTTCAACTAATTGATGGAAAAAATTTAATAAATTTAAATAAAAACTTAATTTATTATCATTTATAAAGTGCTGAAGTAATTGTGGAAGCATTAAAAGATTATTCTTGCCTTTTCCTCCTATTTTTTTATCACTAGAAATGTCACAGCATGATAGCTTTTGTTGAACAAAACACAAAGCACAAAAAGCACAAAAAAGTAACACAAATAGTACAAAATATACAGCAAAAATATCAACGCCCCGGCACATTCTGTATAAAAGGACGCGCATTTAATATGATCGAGGACTTGGAGTTTCACTTTGAAAGTGACAAGTACGCTGCCTTATTCAACCTACTGGTTCATCAAACCAAAACCTGGCTCATTCAGTCAAAGTATTATAAACCTGGCCCATTCGGTCAAATTATAAAATTACTATCATTTCTTTTTTCTTTTAACCTGGCTCATTCAGCCAAATTATTATATTTCTTAGCATAGAACATCCGTCGCTTACAAAAATGAAAATAGAAACATAGGGCGCCACGCGGTCCTGCCAGGAATCTTCTCAACACATAAACCAAAGCCAACCGCAGAAGCATCGTCGTCTTTAACAACAGGGATCTCTTGTGATTGGAAGCATACAATTTACGTATTCAGAAGACATAAGTTCTCCGCAATGATATAATCATGAGCGGGGATAATAATTTCTTCGATCTTTGTCTAAAAACTATTTTCTTCAAAATAGAAAATATTTTTTTCTTTTCTTTTGTATACGTAGAGATTTATTTGAATTTTAAATACATTTTGTTTGATACATTTTTTTTAAAGTAAATAATGTATTTAATAAAATATTATACAACTACGTTTCTTTTTCCTATCAATCAAAACTCTGTTTCAGCGAATATAAATATTATTGTTACGACCCTGGACGACGGTTGAGGATACCCCAGCAAAAATTATATATTTTTGAACGTCACCCCAAAAGTGTCGTTACAGGGTTCTTATGTTTTTATTATTATTATTTATTAGTTATTGTTTCAAAAAATTCATGCAGCATTTACAAAAATTATGGAATTTTTCTTAAAATCTAACTTGACAATAACGTATTTGTTATATATCAGATTGTCATACAAAAAGTGGTGCATATTATTAACATTATTATTTATATAAACTCATCAATAATTAATCTTCTGTAACTTAAAACATTTTTCATAAATTTATACAGGTAATAAATATTGCTACCGTTTAAAAAGACTTTCACTTCTTTTTCGGACAGAAGTGCTTTATCAGAAAAAATACGTCTATGTTCTCTGAAAATTGGATATACACCAATAATATGACATACATTTTCTATTTTATGACGATTACACAAAGAACAATCACGTTCAGATGTATCAAATTCTCTACCGTTCAGATTAAAAAGACCCTCTGTACATTTAAAAAGTAGACTGAGTGTTTTCAAAATAAAAATTATGCATAATGTCATATTGCAGCTGTGGGTACATGTCATGAGATCCCGATCTAGCATTTGCAACAAGGGAAAAGTTAAAATATTATTGTGCAATAGTTTAAGATCCATTCTCCGAAAACTGGTTATTGAAACACCCAGTTCTAAAC